GGAGCTCACGGAGGCAAGAGTGCAGGTGTGTTAGACTCCACCTTCTGCAGGCAGTGTAAGATTAAATATATAAATTGGCATTATTAAAATAATCGTCATTGTCTTATTTTTTCTATTATTCTATTAGTCTATTATTCTCACAAAGGCTGCATTTATTTGATGAAAAATACAGTAAAAATGTTAATATTATGAAATATGATTACATTTTAAATAACCTTTTTCTATTCCAATATATTTTGAAATGTAATTTATTTCTGTGATGGCAAAGCTGAATTTTAATATTTGGTGCTCAAGACTTGTTAAAAACTGTTGTGCTACTTCATATTTTTGTGGAAATTGTGATGGAAAAAGACGTTCAAAAGAACTTTTAGTTGAAATATATTTTTTTGTAACCTTGCACAAGTCCTTACAGTCAGTTTTGATCAATTTAATACATTCATTTGCTGAGTGAGAAGTATTCATTTCTTTGAAATAAACTTAGTGTAATTGATAATATGGATAAAATATCTGATTAATAGATAGTAACTGGTTTCAAATTTGACAGGATACACCATTTCTTGCACAGATTTAAATGCTTTCAGTAATATTAATGTTGCTCATCTATTAAATACATGGAATTCATTGAAAGGCAACGTGTTCCACACGCCACAGGGCGTATATTTCCATCATTCAATATTTAAGTTTAATATATGGATATTCAGGTGTGGTTCCAAAACAGACGGGCCAAATGGAGGAAAAGAGAGCGTTACGGGAAGATGCAAGAGGTGCGAAACCACTTTACCACATACGATATCTCCCTTCTCCCTCGCTCCGATTCATACCAGGTACACACGCAAATACACAAACACAGAACACAAAGAGAGCATAAGACAGAGCTTGAGAACAAAAATGTAGCTTTTGTCTACGATTTCAACACACACAGGGGAGTTGCTTTGGTTTGGCTGGAGACATAGTGGACATTATAATGATTTATATTTGTTGTCAGAAACACAGACTGAATTTAGTTTTATATTGCATGTTAGTGTAATGCCATTAATCTTGCCACATGGCACAGGCTAGCATTAAACATATTTCATTTGTATACATGTTAATTAAATGTAAAAAGATTCTAAAAATGATTTTAAAATGTGTTTTTTTCTGTCCACACAGATGCAAAATAACCTATGGCCAAGCAGTGCGGGAACGGGAGGCGCCGGTGGAGCGGCCAGTGGTTGTGTTCTGGGAGCGGACAACATGGCATCGTCCTGTATGACCCCTTACCCCCATCCTCACGGCAACCTACCCGGGCTCATGGGTATGTCTGCGTCTCCAGGCCACCCTCATCATCATCATCATCACCCGCCCCACCACCCTAGCATTAACGGGATATACTCACTCCATGGCTTCCCAGGAAGCCTGGGGGCCCATTCCTTTGAGCCCAGACCAGAGTCTGAATACAAGCCCTCAGGCCTGGTGGCCCTGCGCATGAAAACCAAAGACCCCGGGAGCCTGTTATCCTGGCCGACATGACCGTGCAGCTGCAACTGTGATTGTGATGACATCACAGAGCCAACAAACAGTTAGCATGCCTGCACATACCGGCGGCATGTTAGAGCTACTCAGAAACACACAACTGAAAGACACTTTTTAACGCTCAATGTACACATCTCTTTTTTTTGCAGGCTTCCAGATGTTTTCACGGCAAAGATACATTTGATGCCTAGATTTTGTTTTGTTTTTGTTTTCTGTTTCCCTATGGAAGCATCTAATTTGTTTGTGTGTTTGTTGAAATTCTATGAGCCATAATGGGCTTTGCACACAACTTGCCTTAATATAACATTCTTCCTGGGATACTTAAATTGTAAAAATGATGTAATGTTAATTACCAAAGAGGATGTGCAACATGTTTATTTAAGTATGTTAATGGTAATCTCATAGTTTCAGTGTATGCAGTGGTTTAGCCCCATTATGTCTATATGTAGTCCCAGTCAATAAATGATTTTACATTTTCCGGCTTTGTGCATTCAAATACGTCACCACTAAAAACAGCAAATAAATGTGTGCTTCTGGTAAACCATGGCAGGAATTAATACTGCATATAGATTACATTTTGTGTTGCTGTTTGATTATTTTAATTAGGGATGCATGATATTTTGGAATCATATTGGCTGATATAACAGTTTGCTTTTTTTTATTTAACGGTTTTGGTCTGTATTAAATATCAACTTGTACAAGCTTATTTCTCAAATTTTTACATTTAGATTAACTTAGCCATTACAGTATCTAACACTCACTTAAAGTCACTTTTTAAAAAACACTAACTTAATAACACTGTTAAATGTATTTTTTAGAATGCCCAGACACTTTATGCATTTAAAATAATTCATTTTAGTATTTATTGTTTTATTTTTCATTTATTTAGATAGAATTGTACAAAATTTGAATACCATCATCCTTGAAAATATTTTTGGTATTCTACAAGAACTTAAATTTTCATGCATCCCTAATTCTAATCTTGAATAATATCCGAAATATGTGGTTTTTACTATAACACAGATAATTGTACAGGCTCAGGCAACTTTGGGATCCATATGAACATCTCATAAAATTCTAATGCAACAAAAATATTTTGTGTGCCAATTTCTTAAGGCTAGTATACACAATTACAATTAAGGTGAAATGTTTTTTTACTTGAGAGAGAGCGTGGCCGTCTAATGTGTAATTTTAAATGTATGTTTTGCTGTAGGCTGGCTGTAAAGGCTGTCAAATGTCACCTGATACATCGGCAGCATGTGACAGCCCTGCTAATACAAAACCAACTAAGTGACCACAAACCCCTCACTCTCAGAATGATGACGGATTCCAAGGTTTTTTTCTGTCATACCCATCAACCTTAGGTCTGGGGTCTGACAGCTGAACAGAACCACAAAGCCTAATGAATTATGAATCAACTTATATGTTAAGCTACTGTTTAATTCAAGAGTCTTCGACAAAAATCAAAACAATGTGAAAAGCAATGCAGACCCCAAGTTTCTGAAGCTGGTTATGTGGTCGATGCATCGCATTAAAACAAAGTAATAACATTTTTGCATGGTTTGAAATGCACCTGGGCTTCAATAACTAATCAAACTAGTTAAATTCAAATTCTGCCTGGTGAAAACCTACATATTTTTGAACATTCAATTCCTGTGACATTGACTTTTAATGACAAATATGTCCCTCATAGAAACAGGGCTTCTAAAGAACAACAAGCATTCTAAATTCTGTTTCTGAGACAACTCAATGTCAGTATACAGCTGATCGTGTTTGATGTGATTTTGGAATCCCAATCCTGTGGGAAATATCTGAAGTTAAAGTGTTCTGTTGATACAAGTGCCAAACAGCCTTGAGGAGGGCAGTTCTGTGACCCAGCCATGGGACCGGTGTGGGTTTTTCAGCTCCATCTGGGTTTAATGACTGCATGCCAATCCTGCCAAGCATGCTTTCAGGGTGATTCACTTAATTTAGATGACACATAAAACGAAATTGCTAGAGATTAAAAAAGCTGCAGTGACAGGATTTTCAAAGCTTCTCTCATTTTCCTAATTCTCAGAATGGGAACAGATTGACAGTTGCTTTGGGGCAAGCATTTCCTGCTGCTTCTTTCCTTTTGTGCATGGAGGATGACAGAAATGCTGGATCACATTAAGTGCCAGTTTAGCGGACCGTGCCGTGTTTTGGAGAGAGTTGACATGTGGTTCCAATAGGAGGCTGACAGAAACTCTCTCCACACCCACAGCTTCGAATTCCAGCCTGATCTTTCAAGAAAGTGGAGCCAGCTCCAGCTACACATGCAAGCTGATTAAATCCCAGATTAAAGGATGCGATAAAGAAATACAGTTCAGGAATACAAGAGAAGCGTTACTAAATAGATGTGAACTACAATGAAACAGACGGGATGAAAAATGTACAAAGAGAGTGTAGTGTGCTAAATGTTGTAGGCTGTAAAAGGACAGACACACAAGTAGGCCTACACAAAATTTTAAAATCTAAGATGAGCATAAACAATGAAATCTCTAAAGGTTGAGATATGTGAAACAATATTGACCCATTGTAGGCCTGCTGCAGGAAAATTAGGCAGTTTGAATGACATTTGGCAGTAAATAAACTATACTTGAATAAATAAAAATTACATAATGTGCTAGCTTCTGCATTTCTGTCTTTAACCTTTATTTCTATTAGACAGAATTATTTGTATAGAAAGCACTTATTTTCCTAGTATATAACTTTGCTTGCTGTCTGCTGACACACACAAGTAACTGTTTGTTGTCTTAAATATAAACATATTCCTTTAGTAGGCCACTATTTAACTGTGTCCTTTTACATAACATTTTTAATATCTTTTCGCAGACAAAAATATATTCATACTGTTCTGAAAATGGGTATTATTTAAAATGCATTCATTATTATAAGGGTGAACCTCGCTGACAATACTAAATCAACACTGAACCGACATGGTAAAAAAGCTCTTCACGTTTACACTAACGTGACCCTTCACCTCAGTGCAACAGGCAAACATCACCATCTGTTGGACATAAAGTGAACTTCGAGATTTGTTCTTAGTTTTATTTATTTGACCACTTACAATTTATAATTCAAAGATTATAGGCCTACATTCTTAATTTAAATTAAATGTAAGGTGAAATTCCCAGTCTTTAGCATCAACTAAAAGCATCAACACTTTTTAATTAGAAAATTATATATTTTTTCCTGTATGATTTGTGGATTTATCATGTTGACAAAAAATATCGAATAGAGTGCAGAAGCAGATATAATATTTCCAATGCATGTCCTCACAACTTAAGAGAAGATTAGTTAAATGTCACCTCTCTTGTGTCTATGGTAAATATTTGGCGTTGAAGCTAAAATGGTGTACACCGAGACTGGGCGCTGTACGGAGGTCTTGATTGACAGACAGAGCGACCAATGGCGTTGACGTTTCTCAGATATTCAAACCAATCAAAGTTGACGGGCGGGTCGTGTTTTAGTCTTGACAAGATGGCGTATGCGGTTGTTTTGCCGCAGGGACACTGAACAAATCATACAGTTTCTCGTGTAAATTCGTCGACATTGCAGTAGCATAACTGTTAAAAAGTGTTTTGTTAGTCGCGCAAAGCCAGAGCACATCTAACATGAAAGGGAAAGAGCGGTCGCCTGTGAAAAAACGTTCAAGGGCCTTGGATGATATACGAGACAGGGGAGGAAGCCATCCGACCAGTAAGAAAATGGGGGTTATCTCGATCTCTGGCGGTGGAAGCAACAACGGCAATAGTTCGTCTAAAAGCGAAGGGGGTTCTGCACGACGTGGGCTGATCGGAGATAAAAGAGACGGACGGGATTTTGACGTACATGTCTCCAGTCGGACTGGAAATAACCACGGTTACACCAGCCCTGTTGCGAGCTCGAGCGGCAAGAATCACGCCTCGAGCCTGTCCTTAGAGGCGGCCGCGCGCACCAACTCGCGCGGAGAGTCGCGAGCCCCGCTTCCCACAAACGAAAGTGAGTACAAAACTTTAAAAATCAGCGAGCTCGGCTCCCAGCTGAGCGACGAGGAAATCGAGGACGGCCTCTTTCACGAATTCAAAAAATTTGGCGACGTGAGTGTTAAAATCAGCCGAGTCAACGACGAGAGAATCGCATTCGTCAACTTTAGGAGACCGGATGATGCCAGAGCGGCGAAGCACGCGCGAGGCCGGCTGGTGCTCTACGACCGTCCTTTGAAAATTGAGGCAGTCTACTTGAATAGGAGGAGAAGTCGATCTCCTGTAGATAAGGACCATTTCTCTGTCGTTGCAGGCCACAGACATTTGCATACCCAGAGGCCGCTCTCTCCAACCGGTTTGGGTTACAGAGACTACCGGTTACAGCAGTTAGCGCTTGGTCGGCTTCCTCCTCCCCCACCCCCGCCTTTACCGAGAGAGCTTGAAAGAGAAAGAGAGTTCGCCTTTTATGAAGCCAGGGCGCGGCCTGCGTACATCGCGGAGCGGGCCGCTCCTTTCCGCGAGGAGGACTTTATCTCTCCCGAGGACGACCAGAGAGCCAACCGCACACTGTTTCTGGGTAATTTGGATATTACTGTGACTGAAAATGATTTGAGGAGAGCTTTTGAACGATTTGGGACCATCACAGAGGTGGACATTAAAAGACCCTCTCGGGGCCAGAGCAGCACCTATGGCTTTCTTAAATTTGAAAACTTGGACATGGCCCATAGAGCAAAAATGAGCATGTCTGGGAAAGTTGTGGGCCGAAACCCCATAAAAATTGGCTATGGCAAAGCCACCCCCACCACACGCCTGTGGGTGGGCGGTCTTGGACCTTGGGTGCCGCTGACTGCGCTAGCCAGGGAGTTTGACCGCTTTGGCACTATCAGGACTATAGACTACAGAAAAGGAGACACCTGGGCTTATATTCAGTATGAAAGCCTGGATGCCGCTCAGGCGGCCTGCACACACATGCGTGGATTTCCTCTCGGCGGTCCCGACAGGAGGCTGAGGGTGGACTTTGCTGACACGGAGCACCGCTACCAGCAGCAGTTCTTGCAGCCCCTCCCTTTGCAACACTATGAAATCGTGGCTGAGTCTTTCGTCCATCGCGCCACCCCCGAGGCCATCAGGGTCCGAGAACGGACTCCCCCACCGCTGCACTTCAGAGAACGAGAACTGTATGCTGGGGCTGAATGGCCTGTGCCTGCCATCCGTGAACGTGTACGAACTCCTGCCTTCGAGCCCCTCGAACACTTGGAGCGCGAGCGACGGCGAGAGGCCTGGTCACTGGAGAGGGAGCTGCCGGGCAGGGATGCTGCACGCAAGCGGCGGCTCATGGAGGACGGGAGACATCTGGAGTGTTCACCTGACAGCAGCAGCGAGTGGGCGGCCCGACGTCGCAGACCGCCATCCCTCGAGGGCAGCCCAGGAGGGAGCAGTCGAGATGGACGATTCAGCGACTCCGAGCGGCCGGCGAGAGCAGACCGGGTGTCCCCTTCACGAGAGAGCCGCAGCAGCCTGGACCGAGGCCCTGGTGAAAAGCGCATCAAAAGCAGCAGCAGCCTCTTAGAGTCCAGTGTCGGTGTGAGCCCTGCGGAGAGAAAGCGCAAAGCGGGCGATTCGGCCAAAGGTGCCTCCAAAAGGGACCGATCTGAGAGCAGCTCCAAAAGCAGCCAGGCTTCAAAGCAGGACGCAGGGGGCAAGCTGAGCATGCCCTGGAATGGCATGCTGCTCCTAAAAAACAGTAACTTCCCAGCCAGCATGCACCTCCTGGAGGGGGACCTGAACGTCGCCAACAGTCTCCTCATCGACGGCAGCACGGGTGGTAAAGTCACACAGCTGCGCATTACACAACGCCTTCGCCTCGACCAGCCCAAGATCGACGAAGTGTCTCGGCGCATCAAAGTCGCAGGCCCAGGCGGGTATGCGGTCCTACTGGCAGTTCCGGGCAGCTCCGAGGAAGCCTCATCTTCGGACCCAGCAGCATCGACGCAGAGGCCCCTGCGCAACTTAGTTTCGTATCTGAAGCAAAAGCAGGCCGCCGGGGTCATCAGTTTACCCGTCGGGGGCAGTAGAGATAAGGACAACACTGGGGTCCTGCACGCATTTCCACCATGTGATTTCTCTCAGCAGTTCTTAGATTCTTCTGCGAAAGCTCTTGCCAAAACGGAAGAGGACTTCCTGGTCATGATCATTGTGCGAGGAGCATCTTAACAATCATAATACACACACAAGTGTTGTTAAATGCAAGCTTCTCTAAATGTCTCTTAATTGCATGCTCTCTAAAGCAGAAGTGGTACTAGAGTAAAGGGCAAATGTTATTACTTGCTCTGCCAAACATGTACAAAAAAAAAAAAAATGAGAGAAAAACGCCCATTCTTATAGCAAAGTTTAGCTCTATAGCAATATATTTGTTTTCATTTGCAATTTATTCAGAGGTCTACTTTGTGACAAGTTGTACCCTGCATAAAAGAATGAATGATATTTATTATATTAGAATAGGAATTTAATTTGCTATTGGTCATTAAACGCAGTCTAGTTCCAACACTTCCCATCAACATGTATTTCAGTCAGATTCCAGACAGTCATCCCTGTACGAAATTTTTTTTTGTGAATGTTCATTTCGTTCATGTTTATGATTATCAATTAATCTGATTTAATGGGAACCTGGTTTATGTGTCTTGATGCTTTGAACAATCATTCAGTAATGGGGAGTGTAATATAGGTATATAGTCCTGTAGGCCACTAAAACAGGCAGAATATTTTGCTCAGTGAACTGCATGTTGATGCTAGTGTTGTACAGTAAGCCGTTGCAGAGGTTTAATATAAAATGTCATCCGTGTTATATCGGTTGATACAGGCTGCATTTTTAACACCCCTTTATCACATTAAAAATAATTTGTGAACGTATTTTGATTATAAAAGTAGATATTTCTAAGCCCTCCTTAGACCAAAGCATAACATCAAGCTTTCAGTTTGTTTAAAAATGAAAAAGGTGTTCTGAAATACTGTTTTCATATTTTTGGGTTACATTTGAAAGGTTTTGAATGAAGCATAATTCTGGTTTCAAAGTGGGATAGAGTGAAATGTCTCTGTTTAAATTATAATGGGTCTCAGATAATTAATTTGATTGCATAGGACTGTCATAATTTCCCAGGTAAAACCTATTTACAGTGATATTGTTAATAATGGTATTCTTATGAAGGCCTCTTTATAAAGTTAAAGAAAAAAGGTGCATTTACTACAAAAACAGACTTTTCCATTCATCAGTGTAAAGTGCATATGCCCTATAATGTGATATTGTCATAATCACCCGTAAATTGCTATGTGGATAGCACTAAGAAATTAAGGTGTATAACAAATGTAAAAAAAAAAAATCAAGCCCACATATTTGTACAAAAAATAGAGACTTGATGCCCTAAAGATTTGGTTCCTGTGCAACTGTAAGACAGTCTTACGTTTTATTTCATTCACATACCTTTAGTTGACAATATAGACGTTCATTTAAGTATGTTTTTAGTTTGAAATATTACACAATGTTGTGGTTCTTAGGTGTGTCATTGTTTGAATGGTTTTAAAATGACAGTCCACAATTTTCTCTAAAATCCTGAAGAAGTAGAAATTTGTGTTCTTAGTCTGTTTAGCTAATTGCAGTGTACTGATCTGATGCATAACTAACATCTTTTCATGTATGACTTTTCTATTCACACTAAATTGTGTTTTAAAAGTTGATTGCTTGGTGATTTCACAACATAACAGCTGTTTGTGTACATGAATAAATGGACATACTGTTCGTTCAGTCCCGGCCACACAGGATAGGACAGGAAATGGACCGTTCCACAAGTGGACTTCACATGGCTGGAAGCAGAAATGATTGTTTGAAATGATTCAGGAGCCCTTTGGATGCACAGGGGCAAGAGCTTTCCATTTAGTGTTAGTGTACTCTCACTGAGAGCATCTTCCTGCTTGTGTAATTGTTTTTTTTTTTTTGTGCTTACAGTTCCCGTATTTAAACGGAAATAATGACACTCTTGATTTGTGCTGTGTTTACCTAATTTCTTGATTGGGGGAGAAAGAGGAAGCGGTCACTCACTCCTTGCACAGCTTTTGACGTGGCTGTTTGTACACACACACAAAAAGTGCACTGGCCCCTCATTTGATTATATCACGCTATCAATAAATTGTGTCATTTGAGGGAGAAAATGTTTATTCGTTGGAAATCAATTGAAGAACGCCTGCCGCTGCTTTTTTCGGTTGTGTTTCGGGAGGAATTGTTGCTCGATTGCTTGTTTCTGCTCAGGAAAGAGATATTCTCCTCCGGGATCAGTCATGGCAGTGAGAGCGAAGGGCAAGAGAGGCTCGATGTTGTTGTTGATCTGTGTTTTCCACCCTTGTGTCCTGGAGTTGCCCCACGTGCTAAGTAACCTGAGGGCACTGCTGCCCCCAACCCTCAAACAGATCAGGGAGAAGGGGGCTGTTCTGCTGAGCTTTGAGAATGAGTGGAGAGATGATGTTTGCGCAGACCTTCACCTAAACTGAAATCTTTCGATTCTCCCAGGCTGGCGGCTGCTTCCTGTATGTGTCCTTCATCTGGAAGAATCCAGGCTTGCTGTAACCGGTCCGGCCATACAATGCATTGCCAGCACGAACCTCAAATCAGTGATTTCCAGTTCAGAGGAGCAGGCGTTTGTTTATCCCATCCTTTGATTTCGTCCGATATGATTTTGTTTTGCTCCATTGAAAATCAGTGAAGGAAGAGGATTTAGAAAAGCCAAAAGCGTTTTAGCCTTCGAAATTTATAGTTTTGCTTTCTTAAACATTTATTTTCCGAAAGAGAAAACGATGACCGGTACGTGGTAAATTGACCCTTCGTTGTGAAGAACCCCTGAGAGAAAACATGCTGCCCGTGTGAACTCCACCCAGAGTTGACCTGGAGTTTGCTTGTGAGGAGCCTCATCAGGAGGAAGAAAATGAACTTCCCTTAGTAAGATGTCCGGTCAGCGGCATCACTTCACCAGCAGCTCGTTCAGGCCTCTGACGCGAGGATCCAGACCAGTCCTCTGGTGTGGGTGGTGAGTAGGGAGTATTTGCTGTATACCAGGTCTTTAGACTTTAGAAGTCTACCTGGTGCAGGTAAGTGTCACTTCCGCAAATAGAACACTGCCATTGGTTGTAACTCTGACATCTTGGGCTGTAGTTTCCAAAACCTTATTTATTTGTTTCTTCTGGGGAAAAAAAAGAAAAATGCAGAAATATATGTAATATTTTAAGTAGGAGGATTGTTGTGCTTGTGATTTCACACAAATAATTTTGCAATAATAAAATTGTTAGAACACCAGTTCACCCAAAAATGAAAGTCATGTTCATAATTTATTCACTCTGTTGTTCTAAACCTGTATGACTTTCTTCTATTTTGAAAAATGTTAAATGTATGATTTTTCCTCCATAATATAAATATATGGGCAAAAGTAGTCGAAACATTCTTCAAAATATCTTTTTGTGTTCCACAGAATAAAGTCACATATGTTTGGAATGACATGAGGGTTAGTAAATGATGACAGAATTTTAATTTTAGGGTGATCTATCTCTTTTAAGTTGAGAATATTACATTTGTTGTATTTTTAAATGCAGGTAAGAGGCCCTGGTGAAAAGCGCATCAAAAGCAGCAGCAGCCTCTTAGAGTCCAGTGTCGGTGTGAGCCCTGCGGAGAGAAAGCGCAAAGCGGGCGATTCAGCCAAAGGTGCCTCCAAGAGGGACCGATCTGAGAGCAGCTCCAAAAGCAGCCAGGCTTCAAAGCAGGATGCAGGGGGGAAGCTGAGCATGGCCTGGAATGGCATGCTGCTCCTAAAAAACAGTAACTTCCCAGCCAGCATGCACCTCCTGGAGGGGGACCTGAACGTCGCCAACAGTCTCCTCATCGACGGCAGCACGGGTGGTAAAGTCACACAGCTGCGCATTACACAACGCCTTCGCCTCGACCAGCCCAAGATCGACGAAGTGTCTCGGCGCATCAAAGTCGCAGGCCCAGGCGGGTATGCGGTCCTACTGGCAGTTCCGGGCAGCTCCGAGGAAGCCTCATCTTCGGACCCAGCAGCATCGACGCAGAGGCCCCTGCGCAACTTAGTTTCGTATCTGAAGCAAAAGCAGGCCGCCGGGGTCATCAGTTTACCCGTCGGGGGCAGTAGAGATAAGGACAACACTGGGGTCCTGCACGCATTTCCACCATGTGATTTCTCTCAGCAGTTCTTAGATTCTTCTGCGAAAGCTCTTGCCAAAACGGAAGAGGACTTCCTGGTCATGATCATTGTGCGAGGAGCATCTTAACAATCATAATACACACACAAGTGTTGTTAAATGCAAGCTTCTCTAAATGTCTCTTAATTGCATGCTCTCTAAAGCAGAAGTGGTACTAGAGTAAAGGGCAAATGTTATTACTTGCTCTGCCAAACATGTACAAAAAAAAAAAAATGAGAGAAAAACGCCCATTCTTATAGCAAAGTTTAGCTCTATAGCAATATATTTGTTTTCATTTGCAATTTATTCAGAGGTCTACTTTGTGACAAGTTGTACCCTGCATAAAAGAATGAATGATATTGGGAATATTAGAATAGGAATTTAATTTGCTATTGGTCATTAAACGCAGTCTAGTTCCAACACTTCCCATCAACATGTATTTCAGTCAGATTCCAGACAGTCATCCCTGTACGAAATTTTTTTTTGTGAATGTTCATTTCGTTCATGTTTATGATTATCAATTAATCTGATTTAATGGGAACCTGGTTTATGTGTCTTGATGCTTTGAACAATCATTCAGTAATGGGGAGTGTAATATAGGTATATAGTCCTGTAGGCCACTAAAACAGGCAGAATATTTTGCTCAGTGAACTGCATGTTGATGCTAGTGTTGTACAGTAAGCCGTTGCAGAGGTTTAATATAAAATGTCATCCGTGTTATATCGGTTGATACAGGCTGCATTTTTAACACCCCTTTATCACATTAAAAATAATTTGTGAACGTATTTTGATTATAAAAGTAGATATTTCTAAGCCCTCCTTAGACCAAAGCATAACATCAAGCTTTCAGTTTGTTTAAAAATGAAAAAGGTGTTCTGAAATACTGTTTTCATATTTTTGGGTTACATTTGAAAGGTTTTGAATGAAGCATAATTCTGGTTTCAAAGTGGGATAGAGTGAAATGTCTCTGTTTAAATTATAATGGGTCTCAGATAATTAATTTGATTGCATAGGACTGTCATAATTTCCCAGGTAAAACCTATTTACAGTGATATTGTTAATAATGGTATTCTTATGAAGGCCTCTTTATAAAGTTAAAGAAAAAAGGTGCATTTACTACAAAAACAGACTTTTCCATTCATCAGTGTAAAGTGCATATGCCCTATAATGTGATATTGTCATAATCACCCGTAAATTGCTATGTGGATAGCACTAAGAAATTAAGGTGTATAACAAATGTAAAAAAAAAAAATCAAGCCCACATATTTGTACAAAAAATAGAGACTTGATGCCCTAAAGATTTGGTTCCTGTGCAACTGTAAGACAGTCTTACGTTTTATTTCATTCACATACCTTTAGTTGACAATATAGACGTTCATTTAAGTATGTTTTTAGTTTGAAATATTACACAATGTTGTGGTTCTTAGGTGTCATTGTTTGAATGGTTTTAAAATGGCAGTCTACACTTTTCTCTAAAATCCTGAAGAAGTAGAAATTTGTGTTCTTAGTCTGTTTAGCTAATTGCAGTGTACTGATCTGATGCATAACTAACATCTTTTCATGTATGACTTTTCTATTCACACTAAATTGTGTTTTAAAAGTTGATTGCTTGGTGATTTCACAACATAACAGCTGTTTGTGTACATGAATAAATGGACATACTGTTCGTTCAGTCCCGGCCACACAGGATAGGACAGGAAATGGACCGTTCCACAAGTGGACTTCACATGGCTGGAAGCAGAAATGATTGTTTGAAATGATTCAGGAGCCCTTTGGATGCACGGGGGCAAGAGCTTTCCATTTAGTGTTAGTGTACTCTCACTGAGAGCATCTTCCTGCTTGTGTAATTGTTTTTTTTTTTTTGTGCTTACAGTTCCCGTATTTAAACGGAAATAATGACACTCTTGATTTGTGCTGTGTTTACCTAATTTCTTGATTGGGGGAGAAAGAGGAAGCGGTCACTCACTCCTTGCACAGCTTTTGACGTGGCTGTTTGTACACACACACAAAAAGTGCACTGGCCCCTCATTTGATTATATCACGCTATCAATAAATTGTGTCATTTGAGGGAGAAAATGTTTATTCGTTGGAAATCAATTGAAGAACGCCTGCCGCTGCTTTTTTCGGTTGTGTTTCGGGAGGAATTGTTGCTCGATTGCTTGTTTCTGCTCAGGAAAGAGATATTCTCCTCCGGGATCAGTCATGGCAGTGAGAGCGAAGGGCAAGAGAGGCTCGATGTTGTTGTTGATCTGTGTTTTCCACCCTTGTGTCCTGGAGTTGCCCCACGTGCTAAGTAACCTGAGGGCACTGCTGCCCCCAACCCTCAAACAGATCAGGGAGAAGGGGGCTGTTCTGCTGAGCTTTGAGAATGAGTGGAGAGATGATGTTTGCGCAGACCTTCACCTAAACTGAAATCTTTCGATTCTCCCAGGCTGGCGGCTGCTTCCTGTATGTGTCCTTCATCTGGAAGAATCCAGGCTTGCTGTAACCGGTCCGGCCATACAATGCATTGCCAGCACGAACCTCAAATCAGTGATTTCCAGTTCAGAGGAGCAGGCGTTTGTTTATCCCATCCTTTGATTTCGTCCGATATGATTTTGTTTTGCTCCATTGAAAATCAGTGAAGGAAGAGGATTTAGAAAAGCCAAAAGCGTTTTAGCCTTCGAAATTTATAGTTTTGCTTTCTTAAACATTTATTTTCCGAAAGAGAAAACGATGACCGGTACGTGGTAAATTGACCCTTCGTTGTGAAGAACCCCTGAGAGAAAACATGCTGCCCGTGTGAACTCCACCCAGAGTTGACCTGGAGTTTGCTTGTGAGGAGCCTCATCAGGAGGAAGAAAATGAACTTCCCTTAGTAAGATGTCCGGTCAGCGGCATCACTTCACCAGCAGCTCGTTCAGGCCTCTGACGCGAGGATCCAGACCAGTCCTCTGGTGTGGGTGGTGAGTAGGGAGTATTTGCTGTATACCAGGTCTTTAGACTTTAGAAGTCTACCTGGTGCAGGTAAGTGTCAGTTAAGGAAATACATTAGAACATTGCCATTGGTTGTAACTCTGGCAGCTTGGCCTGTAGTTTCCAAAATCATATTTATTTGTTTCTTCTGGGAGAAAAAAAGAAAAATGCAGAAATAGATGTAATACTTTAGGTAGGAGATTATTGTGCTTGTGATTTTACGCACACAAATTGGTAACTGATAAAATGTTAAAGCACAAGTTCACCTAAAAATGACAGTTATATCATCATTTATGCACTCTCGTGTTGTTCTAAACTGTTATGTCTTTCTTCTGTGGAACAAACGAGATTTTTCCCCATGTAACTTTATTATTTTTCTTCTAACTGAATTGGCAAATATAGTTGAAACATTCTTCAAAATATCTTTTTGTGTTCCACAGAGGAAAGTCGTATATGCTTGGAATGACTTGAGGGTTGGCAAATGATGACACAATTGAATTTTTTAGGTAAACTATTTCTTTAAGTTGGTAATATTACATTTGTTGTATTTTTAAATGCAGGTAAACTAATAATTTGCCTATTATTCACAGAAGCTAAATGAATTGTTGGTAGTTTCACTTAGATCATCAAACAGGTTCAACTGTCCGCTTCATTCAGATCATTCAAACGCTTCTTATGACAGTAAACAACCCAAAAACATTCAAGTAATAAAAAATGAGGTCATGGATGTTCCTTCATTTTAATTTTGGTTATTAAATATTTGAGGTAGCTTTTACTAGAACAACTACAACTAAAACAACTACATTTACAATTTACATACAAAATTTAACACAATCCCACACTTCCTTTTAGCCTGTGATGTCATAGAGCTCTTAATTAAAGCTTCACTACATTTACTTTTAGCCTTTTAGTCAGCCTTATAATCCTAACAGTTCATTTGCTTATGAGTTCTAATGTTCATTTGAATTGTAACTTTGTATCAAGTTATATTGTGATGATTTCTTAAAACATTAGGAACATAATTGAGTGTGACTTTCAGTGTTAGGGTTTCACAGGTTTCTACTGAATTGTCTAAGCATTGTGTTTTTTTCTAATGATAGAAAGAAACCGAACAAAATTATTAGACGACTATAGAAAATCATGGAACTGATCATTTAGCTCTGCACTAAACCTCATTGATTACAGACAGGCTGAACCAAGGGCTTATTGTGGGAGGTTGTTGAATTTTTTAGTTTAAATTATGATGGTTGTCCAAAAGATATTTGATTACATAAGGTTGTTTTAATGTTTTTTCCCTCCATAGGACTGTTATAATTATTTTCCCCTTTACACTGATATTGTTAATACTGGTATACTGTGAAGGTCACTTTATAAAATAAAGACAAACAAGAATTGTCTATACAGTCACAGATTTATCAATATGAATAGAATTTACAAATTTTTTTACCCTCAGTTATAAAAAAACAAGTAGATGGTCTAATCAAATTTCACAGTACAGTTAAAGTAACATTGGTTTTTATTTCATATTTTGACAATTTCTGTTGGCATGTCTCATTTTAAAGGCTGCACCTTCTGAAGGCCGCATTTATCATTCACATACATCATTGAGACTGCCTCATTTAGAAAAGTAACCATTACATTCCAAATTAAGAGAGAAATAATTTATGCCTCGGGGAATAACAGTTAATTTTATAATTACTTTTCTGAAATGAGACATCCTTGAAGACTAAGGTGGCTGACAAATGCGACCTCATGAGGGCGCAGCCCTTGAAATGTGACAGCTTTCATTAGGAGCACAGATGTGGCACGTAGTTTAACCAAAATCTGCTCTCTGCAGAACGGTTTGGGAACTGGCCAACATTAAAATCAATTTGCATTAACACATATCACTGAAACTGGTGATAATTCATTTCTGTAACTTCATTTTCAGTTACACATGCCAGTGATAATAATGATAATAATAATCAGATGTCTCGGTCCATGGCACTCAGCTGTGGTCTCTAATGTTTTCTCCTGTATCTTCACCACAGTTCTGACTGATTGGCTTGTCTGCAGATGCTATGGAATGGGCCTGTTATCTTGGTAACCGGTAACACTCGAGCCCCTCCTCGGGCCTCATTTACATAATCTCTTTGTGTAGTCCAGACACTGTTCCCTTCCCACTTTTCCAAGTAATGAAAAGAGCATATTGAGTCTGACAGTCCAAAACATTAGCTCATTGTTCCTGGTTGTTAGCTTAGTTCTCTGCATAAGCTACCACATGATGACTATAAGCTATTTCAGGCCTCACAATAGGCTTTCTACCCTCTGATCTTACTAGGAATGATCTTACTACTCTGAATGTTGATTGGAAACTCAAGGAAAATGCACAAACTGAATGCCATCAGACTTTTCTCTATAAAGAGTTCATTCTGAACTGTTATACCTTGTTAAGGAAACTGATGATTATTCAAACTCAAAAATCTGTTTACTGTCAGCCATTGATGTTATAGGTGACCTATCTGCTATCTTTTATCACCAACGGCCACTATTGTGAGAACATTTGCTGGCGTTTTTTAACCAATGTCCTGATCTGAATCTTATTTCAGGTGGACAGATGTGAGTATCTGCTGAGTAATGAACGCACACTTGGCTGTCTTCAGATGAAACCAGGATGGTTCGTTATTGATTAGAAGCTGAACAAGCATATTTAATTATTCATTTGTTATGTATGTGAGATTTTCTACACATTATTATGTGCTGTCTTTGGTGTCCGCAGAACATCATGGTTGCATTGTAGGTATCTATTCATCAGTGATTAAACATGAAAACTCTGCAGTGCATCTCATCTCGGCTCATTTCTGTAAGTACCAGCTCATTTGTTAAGTTAAGCATTTTTTTGCAAGTAATTTTGTTAAAATAGTTTAGAATCAAATAGATGCTTATGATTTCTTGTAATACAATATATATTTTTGTATTTGAGGAATGTCTTGGAATGATGCATAAGAAATGTAAATATACTGCTTACCATTGTGTGCTACATGCAGTGTTCTCAATAAAGATAATCTTTTACACTACTTTGTGCTATTTTTTGATGTTCCACATGAAAAGAATGTGTATGTTTGAAAATTACAAATCTTAATATGAATGCAATCTTTTTTTTAAAGACACTAATAATAATTAAGATAATCAATGGACTTTAGACAGTGCTGTTTCAAAGATTATATTATCTATTTTCTGGTTTGCAGAAAACTATTTTCTTTTATATTTTCCTCATAATTTAGATAAGATCTCCCAGGGATTAACAAATGTTTTACATGAAACCCAGTGGCTGTCAAATGTACTGCTGGCTTTAATCGCAGTCTTGTAGATCGTGACAGTCCTGAGCATTGTCAATAATAATAACTAAAAAAAAACAAAAAAACACACACAACAAAAAACTTTCATCTTATAATCCTCAGGCCAGCATCATGCTATCACATTTTTCCAAAAGTACGAAATCACTAACAGTACAGTATTGCTGGTGAAGTCTGGCATTGACATTAATAGTGTTATTGCGTCCCCTTAACTGTCTTTAAGGCTAGTTTAAAACAACTTATAGACATTTTCCAAGACACTAACCCATTTCTTCAAAAACCCTGCTTTCATTAAACAATTTAGTGTGATGAGGAAAAGCTTGCTGACAAAAACTAAAAAATCAGTGGCCAATGATTTCAAGATTTCAATTGCGTATTGTTATTATTTGTTAAATTGTTGCATTTGTGCGTGTCTTGCTCATTCTAGGAAATACTTCGTTTGTCATTACTTGGTTGATGAAACAAAAGAATTGGACATTCCAGAACATGGACTGCCGGTTAATTGATACAACATTCCAGTAGCAGTACATCTTTCGTGCCTCTAGAGGGCAATAGCTCACACAGAACCACATTACCAGAGAGAACTACAAGTCTACAACATGTGAGCAGTAACGAGATGTCTATCAACACAGGACATGTTCAAATGCATAGATTGATAAATTATATTTCTATTGCATCTTTGGTTCTCATCACAGGATATTTAGCACAGTCATTGTGTACAAAGGCAAACAGTGGTGATAAACAGTGCACTGCAGTATACCCAACAAAAAAATGAGAACCTAAAAATAAAAATGACAATAAGAATAAAGGATTTGCACTTTAGAGAACGCTCAATATAAATGCTCAGCATCTGGGCCTCTTGTGCAGGTACACATGAACCCACAAACCAACTGACCCAATTCTTGCAAAACTTGGCATCAGAAGAATATTCACTTGTATTCACAGCGGTTTGTTCCAAAAAATCTCTTGGTTGTTGTCAGCAGTAAATGACATTGTGACTGATTTGGCACCAGTGGAAAAAAAAGAAGTCCATGTCTGGAATATTCTGGCCCCAAATGTCTTCCAGTTGGGGCACCAATGACAAAATCTGTTGATGTCAGCCACTATGGCTTGATGCATTCCTTTACACAGTACTGAGCTTCATAGCAAAAACACATCAACAGACATGAACACGCATTAAAGGCTCAAAAAGGAGGCTCACAGGGTCTTAATAGGCTTATTGCATAGACCCATCCCCATCTGACAAAATACTCTTATTTCACTACTAATATATTTGCCTAAGTGAGTATTATGTGTCCTGTGATACAAATTTACAATCATATCAGTGGAAGCATTTGAGTAACTTTCTAATGTAGGAAGATCCAGATTTATCATGAGCTGTAACATAAAAGCTTATGTGGTGACGAAGGCTCCTCATTTTGTTCTCGTGCTGATCTGATTGCCATTAAAGATGGCAGTGAGAGAAGTAAGAAGATTTATATAAAACAATTCAACCAACTCCATTCTCAAAACAAAGTAGTTTGCATTGTAGTGTCCTGAAGCATTCATTTATTGGTCTCTGCATTCAAATGAACATTCATTTGCTTGCCACGCTGTGGTCCCGCCAAATGTTCAGGTCAGGTCCTCTTCCGATCAGCCCTCAGAGGGTGAACCACATGACAGGGTGGAAAGTAAAATGGCTTTGAGTTTAGTCCTCTATTATACAACACCATTCCTCTTAGGCGCCGGGCAGAAACAGCCCTTACTCCACATCAATTCTTGGTTTAGCGTCTCTAGCCGCTTCTTCCGGGCTTGCCAGCGCCTCGCCAGAGGCTCGAGGAAAAGAGAAACTGACGATAACAGATAACACACACCTGCCAGGTAGAAGGAGCAGTCGTAGGTCTGAGTGTAGTCGTACAGGAAGCCTTTGGGACGAAACGCAATGCGTTAGACGTATATAAAACTGCTGACAGATGGAAAGTTTTCCTTAGTCAATGGAGGTCAATGAAGAAAACATGGAAAAAAGACAGACTTTCTTTACATTCTATTTTTTTTTCTGTTCTTGCACGATATACTTGAGAACGGTCAGTAACCTGACACTCAAGATGATGGACTGATGGAGAAATCTTTCTTCACTTTCCAGCCCAGAATCTCCCCACACCTGTTTTCTGACTGGATACGCTTTTAAAACCACGGCTTGTTTTCACTATGCAAGCAGCACCGGGTCATATCCGGAAAGGCCTTGGGTCGGATAGAAAAATCAGTTTTGCTTCCCTGGCTGCTCATTATATTTTTGGGGTGGGGGAGTGGAGGAATTGTGGAAGGGGGCCCTGACAAGATGGTTCATGTTAGCATAACTGTGTTACAGAGTTCAGGGGAAGGTCTATGCTCGCCTTCCTGAGGAGGCCCCTCTTCAAGACTTGCTTTTCCAAGAACTGTACTTCACTGTAGAACTGTTCTATGTAAGGAGATTCTGTATTTGTGTTGATGACTGAGTATTCTTATTAAATAGCAGCAAATAAATATATCTAGTAGCCTAATGGAATTTGTTTAGCAATACATTATAATGAAAAGGAGCCATATATATACTGCATATTAGGAAAACTAAATCAGTTCAAAATGCTTTAAATCTATCCAGACAGGTGATCCTATTTTTAGGTGGGTTAATATGTCTCCCATCTGTAACCCACTTAAACAGAAATATGAAACTGTACGACCTCAGTGTCCCTCAAGCCACACACACAGAAGCAAGCTTGTCTTACACATTATCATGTCCGGCCAAGTCTTTCCAAAGCTGCTGGTTATTTTCGTGAGACATCAAGGCTACGTTCACCTATTGATGTTTATCGCTTGCATGATCTAGTCAAGGAGTTCATCCAAACTCCACATACCTGCCAGAGGAGGACCTGTTAGACAACCAAGCCCCACAAAGAACATTGAGAACCCCATCGAATTGTTCAGCTTTTCAGAGCCCACCAAGTCTACCTGGAAAACACAGAAATTAATAATATTTATGACAGATGACATATGGCAGATTATGACTTCTCTGACTAAGCCAGAAAAAAACTGAACTTTGGTTAGCAAACTTTGATATAGAATATAGACAAGGATTTATCATTAAAGAAAACGTTTTTTTGTTTTTTAAATTCCACATTCGTATAAAATTTATTAATACACATTTTTTCCCACCGAAGCATATTTAAAATAATAATTTTAATTATAATTCAATGCAATATAATCACACACACACACACACACGCACACACACACACAAACACACACACAGGTATATGCAAAACTACTGTCACTTTTGATTAATTTAATGCATCTTTGCTGAATAAAAATCTTACTGACCCCAACGGTAGTGTATATATTTCATAAAATTTTCTTACATTTTAACACCATAATGTATGAAAAACTATGTTCCATCATGCTTTACTACAGTAATTCTCTTGCCGTTCATCAAATTTACTCATATTTACTCATAACAGAACAGTTGATTTGCATATTACAATTGAACAAGCAATTGTATTTTGTTGATGTTGATTATGTATATTTTACTTGCTTTCTTGAGGTTCAGGGAGAATCAATATTTGATTAGTCTCTTAATGGGACAGTTCACCAAAAATGAAAATTCTGCCATTATTTACTAACCCTACGGTTGTTCCAAACCTATATTAGTTCATTTATTCTTTTGAACATAAAAGAACAGTTGCTGGTTCCAATTGACTTCCGTATTACAGAAAAAAATACTAAAAAAAAAAAATAAAAAAAAATACTACTAAGTCAATTGGGACTAGAACTGTTTTGTTGCCTATATTCTTCAAAATGTATTATTTCATATTTAGCAGAAGAAAGAAACTCATACAGGTTTGGAACAACTTGTAGGTGAGTAAATTATAACAGAATTTCCATTTTTGGGTGAACTATCCCTTTAATTCAAAGATATTTTCATAATAACTACTTTACATGCACATTTAACAAGCATATTTAATGTCTATACATGTAGGCAACAGGCTGTTTTCCCTCAGGGGCTTTTTAAGCACTCATTTTGTCTATCTGGTTCACTGAGAGTGATTCCAGGATGTAAAACATATTTGAAAGGTAAAACCTGAGATTCCTTCCAGAGGAACGGGTGTACTGCAGTGCCGCCTGTCAATCTAGCCCTCTCTCCTTACACTGCCCTTCGCAGTATTACACCACAAGAACTCAATGTCTCAATACTAGAAAAACAAGACCTCTCCATGAGCATATATAATACGAGTGAAGGAAACTGCATTAGGATCTCCCCATTTGTAATGAACAGAACTGAGTTCATAACTCCTCTAAGACATACTTTCAAGCTGCTGGTAACATTGAGAACGAAAGTGACGAAACAACTAAACAGAGACAACTGAAATTTCATTTTTATACTGAACTAAGCATATTATTTATATATACACATTTATACAAGATCTTTGCAAGGCCCAGGCTTGCCAGTACTCACCAGCACAGGAAGTAGGAGAGCCATGTACCCCCCACAGAAGATGGCAAAGAAGACAGCATAGACCATGAGCAAGATGTATGAGGTGGCCAGAGGGGAGAGAAGATTGACCACACCACACAGGATAAGGTAGGCCTTATGGTAGTGATACTTGTGAACCAGATTCCTGTCTGTCACCCAGCCAGATGCAAGTTGGGCCACCGTCTCTGTTATACCTGTGAGACAGAAAAACTGTTGAACTGATGGACTGAAAATGGGCTGCTTAGTGTTGGACTCTTCCAAGGTTTCTTCCTTACACAGTATTGCTGTCTTATATTAATATTATGGAATGTTGTTCCAAACCTGTTTGACCTCTTCATGTAATATGTAAAAGACTGTAACTGTCAAGGTTCAAAATGACAAAACCATTGGTGATCTAAATGGCTAATGTAGTATATTACTTTAAAATAATTGGTTTGCTTTGTAAGAAAAACGAATATAAGTCGCTATCATGCATACACACACTACAACATCTTTTTACAATGCCTGTACACATGAAATATACCTCTATTTCTCCCAACATGGAGAATGGAGAGATCAGTATTAGTAACAAATAAAAAAAATAAAAAAATAATGCATATTTTAATTCTTTGAAAAAATAACTTGGTACAATACTGTTCAAAAGTTTGGGGTTGGATTAAGATTTTATATGAAATGAAACAAATACTTCTATTTAGCAAGGATGAATTACAGTGATCAATAGTGATAGTAAAGACTTTTTGTTACAAAATCTTTCAAATAAATGCTGTTCTACTGAACTTTATTCATCAGAGAATCCTAAAAAATGAATCTGAATTCATTAATATTAAGCAGCAAAAACTAATATGAAACATTTTTTTATCAAAAAAGCAGCTAATCAGCATTTTAAAAGGATTTCTGAAGAATCAACTAAATCAACTGAATGTTCAGCATAGTCTTCAGTATCACATGACCTTTGTCCTCACAGGAATAAATATATGTTATTTTTAAACTGTAATAATATTTCATAATATTCCTGTTTTACAGTATTTTTGATCAAATGAATTCAGCCTGGGAGAGCATAAGAGACTTCTTTCAAAAACATTAAACGGCCCCGAACCTTTGAACTACATGGTGTAAATTAAACAAACATGAAAAACCGCTACTTAAAGGGTTAGTTCACCCAAAAATTAAAATTAGCCTATAAATTACTCACCCTCAAGTCATCCTAGGTGTATATGACTTTCTTCTTTCAGACGAATCCTGTCGGAGTTATATAAAAAATTGTCTTTGATCTTTCAAGCTGTTTCATGGCACTCAGCGGGTGTTGCATGCATCAGTCCAAAAGAAGTTAAATAAAAAGCGCCCATCCATAAAAAAAAGTGTCTCACACGGCTCCGGGGGGTGAACAAAGGCCTTCTGTAGCGAATCGATGCGTTTTTGTAAGAAAAATATCCATATTCAAAACGTAATAAAGGATTACGTACAAAGCTCACTGTTGTACACTGGAAGCAGCTCCGGGCGCATGACGGCTTTGCACATGCGCCGCTCAAAAGTGACGCACGTGGAAGCGCAGGGGAGAGATCAAAACAAAACAACGATCACTAATTTGGCATGACATTTCCCGACCAGGCACCGAGTGTTGCCAATCACAACATACACTGGCCCGGCTAACCAATCACAGCACATTTCGTATTTCAGAAGGCGGGCCTTCATTTGATACAGGAACTATTCAAGCCGTTCATGCCAGACTGGGGAGAGAGGTGTTGTAATAATGTAAAATATGTGAAAAATGTGTTTTTC